TGGCAGTATGCGGAAAGAGTAATGGAGATCGAACAGGGAACGTTCACTCCCCTAGTTTTCACGACCACAGGTGGAATGGCGGATGAGTGTGTTAAGTACCACAACAGACTTGTGGAGCTGATCTCAAATAAGAAGGGAGATAGTTACTCAAGCGCAATTTCCTGGATAAGAGCTAAAGTATCTTTCGCGAAAGTACGCTCTTCGATACTATGCTTGAGAGGCTCAAGATCCAGATGAAAACAGCTAGACTTTGTTGACTAAGATGTACAGATCGAAAATATTCGAGCCTGCCCGAATTATTCTTGTTTGTTTGTTTTTTTTTTTTCAGGGACTTTTTAAAGAATTAAGAATTTAGGAATAACAGATTTTATTTTTATCTTGTTTCTTTTTAATATATCAGAGACGGGTAGTTCTCTTTTGTAATGACTTAATTTAAAACTCTGGACTGTCTGTAAGAGTTATTGATCGCATCTGATCCGCAAGGAATGTATTTGAGAAATCGTTATTGACACAGTGATTGTATTTGTATGGTTTATATAATTCTTAATGTTGTGTAGTACTTAATTCTTACTTCAAATATTTCGGTAAATTATGCACATACTTTTAATTGATAAAATTGTTATTATTATCATTATTAGTATTATTATCCTCATCATCATTAATATGGGTAACTTTGCCAAATATGAATGATCCTTTTAACCTAAATAAAACTGTAATTTAATCAAAGGGCAAGTAATTAGTTTAACTATATCCGGATCTTGTTTACTGTGGGTAATGTCGACCGAGATATCGGTCGACATAGTGGTTGTAACCTGATATTTAATTCTACAAATAGCATCTTCATCTTCAAATCTTGTAATACAATATAAATGGCTTGTAAAATAAATGAATGGAGGAAAAAATAAACAATAAACAATCCTTTTAAAAGAATCTTAGATTTCAAATAACATTTATTTAATAAAATACACTTGAAACGTTGCTGGTTCATCTGTGATTCACGTACAATGAAAATTAATAAAAACATTATGAATTCAAAGCACGAAATTACTCAGATGTTAAAACTTTATTTTATAAGGGCAACAATATAATGGCTTTCTTGTTTGCTTAAATATTAATATAACTTTTATTTTTTATATTTGCAGATAAGGGTGTATCCACAACAACACGCCTTAGTTGCTTGACACATCCTCCTCCCACACGACCAAAAATGACTACTAAAGTCACTGAAGTACCAAAATTTCCAAACGATACTACGGCTACAGGGAAACCAATTAAAACTTGGAGGAGACGTCGTCCAATGGCTTGCAATATTTCTGATGAAGTGGATGTAGATCCTGCATTGACTGTCCTAGGAGGCAGCCACGCTGTATTTCTTTATCGTCCTTTTTGCCTGATCGTGGTCTTCATCTCCAGCCTTCGGTTCATTTTTGAAACGCTGCAACATTTCATCGATGGGTGAAATGCAATATCAGTTTTTAGATTTCTCCTTTTTTTTATATATATATATATTTTATTTTGATTATGCGGTAAGTCCTTATCGCATGAATTGAATTTCGGCATACCCCAAGGCTCCGTGTTAGGCCCAGTCCTCTACCTTCTCTACACATCACCTACGATTGACCTGCACCCATCCAAACCTCTTATTTCATTGGTCCCTATAACCTGCACTACCTATTGTTTTCAGTGATAGGGGCATTGTTATGTCACCAACCCAAATTTTTTACTTTTAGCCCAGACTGATTATAACAAGTCCTCATGTTAAATGTTAAATGTTAAATGGCGTCAGGGCGCTCGCCATCTCCGTCCTTGACCTTTGGAATCAGCTACGCGACGACATTAAATCTATTGACAAATTAACAACTTTTAAATCAAAGATGAAGACCTATTTTTTAAATATCGCTTTCAAGAATTAATTTTTATCTAAATTTCATTTTTGCATTTTTATTTTTTACTATCGTGTGAATATTCTGTAAAGTGCATAGAGCTGCTGTATATGCGCTATTTAAATGTTAATTATTATTATTACCTACGATGTAAACAAATGGACACATGAGAACTTTCTTTTTTTTTAATAAGCGTAAGACCGAAGTTGTAATATTTGGAACGGACGCCAGCTTTAAGGTTTACGTAGAAAATTATGGATTAACTTGGGTAAGTGATTTTAAGTACTTAGCCGTTGTTCTTGACGAACTCAATTTACCTTAATTAGAAGGCACATGTTAAGTTGCTAAAGGAGGTAGGAGAAGAGTGGGAATGTTGGAACGGACCCCGGAAACTCAAGACACTGACAGTAGGTGCAGCCAACACTCCGTATAAGTCGCTTATAGTTCCGATTTTTTTTGTTACTTTGATAGTGTTTGGTCCTGCTGTAACAAGTGCGACGCAGACGGTCTTGAAAGCCTCCAATGTCGAACAGCCAAAATCGAGTAGTTCAACTGAAACTGCCATGCAGATTTTAAAATGGGTGCCACAGAGGCAAACATGTCTGCAAGTTAGTTAAGAAATGCTTAACCTATACTGTCCCTCATTTTCTTCGTTATTATTTCAGCTTCAACCGGGATGTCGTTTCCAGAATTACGCGACAGAGTAATTTCCCTCGTATCGCGCAATTTACTACTTAAGCCGTCAATAGAGAGTTCTTTTACAATGGAGCCTTAATTTACGATAAATTTTTAAACTCTGAGCTCTTTGTTATGTCGACGATGTAATTTCCTGCCTTCTCATTCGTAAATTTTTATTCCTATTAATCGTGAGAGGTTAAAGAATTTGGTGCTTGACATATTCTATGTCCATGTATCAATTAGGTTAGGTTTGTTTTGTAATAATTTTCGGTTGTTATTGTTAATACTCTTGTTTCTATTGTAAATAATTTAGTTTTCAGAGCCGCTATTGATAACAGGGCCTGCCTGGAAAGTCAGTTTAAAACAGTGTATCAGCACTTTTCCCGTTAATTAATTTAGAAAAAAATTTCAGACAATTTTTTAATGTTCTCTGTCCCCAAAACGCGAACATGCAACAGAGACCTGGGATGAAAATTTACAACTTTTTGGTTAAAGCCTTCAGTTTAGGAAAGGATTATTTAAAACATTTAAAGAAAGGCTTAGAAGAACATGTCTGGTTGCAGCAAAACTAAAACAAGTATCATAATGTTTTGTTTCGTTATTGAAACGCACAGAAAAACTTAATGGGCTATTTTTAAATAATAGTTTAAGTTATGAACTTTAATTCAGTTACCAAATCTTAAATAAAGCTGTAACTTTTAATATAAAGGTTTCGTCTTGATGCACGGTGCACTTCTCGCAGAATTTTGGCACACTCTCTCGTCAGTGTTGTCGGGGTCTTTGAGTAAATAATTCTTTTAACTTAAAACTTTGCTCTTCAGCGTTGATTCTCCAAAAGGTGGAATATGATACCCATTCCTCACGCAGCTGAATTGTTAATAAGCCGGCGTCAAAATTTCCCGCCAAACGTGACAATTTTCGCAGAAAAAGGAGTCAGTGAAAGAGTATCCAAACGGAAGCATATAAATCGGAAGCTTCTAACTTCCCCTTGTTTGTTTAGAACCATGCTGGGGTTTCCTAACCATCCAATCAGAAGCAAAGAACATCTTGCCCCAATATAGAATCAAAGAATTGAAGGTATCTCCGCAAAAAAATAGCTTATAACGAACTCTTGAAGTCCTTAATAGTTCTCCAAGTAAACAAGTACATCCACAACTCAATAGTACACGTTGAGACCTTTAAATTTGTTATATAACATAATCAAAGGCAGGGAACAAAAACATTTATATTAACAGGTAACGGAGTCGAACGAGTCATTTGCGCGCACTAACTTGCACTAAGGCGTGTACAAATAATTTTCAGTTGCGAATACTTCCCGTAAAAAATCTTCGTGCTCGATAAGTAGTTTTCCGTCTTAGTGGTCATTTCAAAACATGCTATATGTTATTCTGAACGGACTTTGTCCATTGCTCTTAATATTAACATAGCCAGCTTTGAAAACTATCAGGTAAAACATAAGGTCGCGTAATGTAGACGTAAACTGTTTTTAGCACGCGCTAGCTGGTGACTCTAGTTAAGCCAGGGGCCCGTTTCTCGAAAGTCCCGATAATTAACGGGCCCGGTAAGCTGTCTCCGTTTACATTGAAGATCGAGGTTTCAATAGTTTTCCATCTAAAATGATAAAACTATGAGTTAATGAAACAAAATGGAGTAGTTTGCTAGCCAGGACCCGCGTTCCTATTCTTTATATTTCGGTTTGAATATTTGATTTCGGGCCCGAAAAGTTACCGGGACTTTCGAGAAACGGGCCCCTGCAGGCCCGTAAGATGCTTATCATGATTAGCCGGCTTTGTCCTGTTCGGAGTAAGTCAATCCTGGTCATTTTGAATTCCGATTTTGGTCAAATTGTACTTCGTAAAACTGTAACTACCCTTTGTAGCACTTCGTTTACATCGCGATACAAAGTTTTAATAACACTAGCGCTACAGTCTCGCGTATCAGTGATTCCATATTAGGAAGTAGATCTTGATTGGTTCTCCGAAGAACCCCGGCATTGGATTAGAGTTATACACTTCAGGGCTATATGCTTCTGATACCAATTAAAGTATTATTTGTTTGTCCAATTAGTTCAAAAGCAATTGCTTTAAATGGCCGGTATCAATGAGTGATTTTCTATCCTCGCATTTCGTTTACCTTAAACTGCTGGATCCTAAACGTTGGAAAAAATGTGTTTCTTTTTCTTTCAATGGCTCTCTTTATGGCAATTGTCTCTACACGCCTCAAAGTTTCTATTGTCACAGTCTGCGCAATTGTTTTAATAATCTAAATCAGTCCTTTTAAAGGTTACGGTCACTGTACGATAGAAATAAGGCAATTACGTAATGAGGTTCTAGGTAGACTACTCCGACTGCTCTGCAAAAAATATTCCTGCAGTACTTTTACTTTTTTTAGTGGAATAGTTCATACTCCGTGTTTTAAAGTTGTTTAGCATTAGGATTTCAATACCTCTGTGTCCGTTTGGTTTAAAGCGGTAGAAAAGTCAAAAGCAGGGTTTTTTTTACTGGTTAATGATCGTGTAAGGTTAAAGCACTGCTGGAATTGATTTATGCATCTTATAACATCTTAATTAATCGAGTTCCCTCCACGCTTTTTCGGGACAATTCTCTGCTTCTTAGTTGCTTGTTCCGAAGCATGTTGATTTAAATTAGCTTTTGTTCCACCAAAGCTCTTTAATCTTAACACAAGAAATTACGAGCTATGTGTTTTGCTAAAGTTCTTTTTCGTGAATATAATCTGCAAGTTATTTTTAAGTCAAAACAAACCACATAATCGATGAGCGTTTCTTTAATGAACTTATAAAGATTATTTCTTGAACTATAGAATTACTCTACAGGAGCCTTCAAACTTGCATTAAATTTTTCAGATTAGCGATCTACCAAAAATTCATATCTAGCCTTAACTATGCTGAAATCATGTTATTTCAAGTGCTTTGATTACGGTAAATTTCGCTTAAATCCTTAATTTGTGGAGGAAAAAACCCGCGACAAAACACGTTGCTTATTTACTTACAAATTTCTCGCTTTTATTTGAAAGAACATTCCCGCAAACTGGGACCTTCAAGAAGGAAATAGAAATAAGGTTTAGTATTGTATGCAACCCTCGTATAAAGATATAACTTACAAAGCAGAAAACGTATGAGGATTTCTATGTGCATAAAAAATTCCAAAATTTACTTCCATCGGTGTCCTACTGGGCATCGGTAATTTTATTTAACGAACCCAATAAATAATTATCCTCAAAATTTTAAAATTTACGGGGCAAAGCAACGACACTTTGCTAAAGCTTTATATTTGAAAAAGGAAGGGTGAGGGTGCTATACGAGACATCCGAGCTAAAATTACAGGTGTACACTTAGAGCATGCCTCAAGGATTAAAAGATTTTTTGTATGGTCAAAATATTTACCTGGGGATATAGTTTTTAAGCCTTCACCAATTGTTATGTATAATTAATAATAAAGTAATTGTACTCGGAAATTCGATTTTCAAGACTTTAAAAACCCATGAAGCCAATTAATGAGAAGAGTAGTGCTGTAATTGGACCGGTGTTATTTCTTGCCAACTCTTTTGCTTTGGACCGACCAATTTAAACGCAGTAGTGAATGATACTTTGCCGTGTTAACAGTGTTTTGAGTTCAGCAATAGCTCTGATAATCTGCGCAAGGAAATTATGTTGTATTGGCGACGATGGATAATTTTGATAACAACTGCCTTCACCATGACAGGAGTTCTTGCAAGTAGGTTGTTGTAAAACTTACAATAATTTCAACTTGGATGCCTTTTTTTACTGTATAGAATCACTGGGTGAACGGCTTTCATGTAAGGTTCAATAGCTGTTTTTATCCGGTTTTAAGTGGATACACTGAGTGAATTTGATTCTTCTTTATGACAGATAACAAATCAGTAAATATTTATACCAATGCACCGTTACTGACTGAATTCCTTTGACCAAATTTACTTTTGACATTGTGGAAATTGGTAAGAGACATTTGTTCTCAAAATTTAGTCAGCGAAGCAATCTATTGGTATCTTCAAGCGATAACAAGGAATTTTCACATCATAGTGGGAAGAGAATGTTCGGTTTTCATGTCACTGTCTTTTTACCGATTTGAATCTTATTCATAGACTTTTCTTAAACAGATTTTGAAATTCGTTTTTTTTAAAGAATGCCAAAAAATCCTTAATGAAAGAAAAATACCATCGCTGTTTTGAAAGTATCTGAGAAGTTGCTTGTTCTGTCGTTTTACACCACACAATTAGCCACCCCCTTTAGTTCAAAATCATCTTTTTGAACTGTCTTGAGCAGAGTACGTTCAGTGTTCTTGAATTAAAAAGTTTGATAAAAGGAATAAATTCCATTATTACCTAAGTTCTAAAGTAAGATGACGGTAAAAAACAAATATTTTAACCTGATAAGAATTCTATTTTACTAATTAAAAGCATTCATTTTTTCTTGAGCCTCAGTTTTAATTTACGTAAGCGAAGATAAATTTTGAAATCATTATGGTCGAAAAACCGTTTATTAATGATCTTTATTGGAATACTTCTTGTGATGTTCAGATAAATATTTTCAGCTTTTCATCTAAATTCGTAATTATTTGCAAGCTAAATTCTTCCTCTGTAATTACCGAAGAACGTTATTTTTAAGGGTTAGGCGAAATTATTTGGAGACTGTTTTTAAGAATTCACCTTTACGTGTAAATTATATATTACGTATTTTTAATAAACATAGGATGTTGTTTACTTTCTCACCACAGTACAAGCTGCTATAAACTCGTAAAAGTAAAATGTGATTTTATGTACCTGCTCGTCGCTTGTTATGACAGTTTAGTTTTATCCAGAAAATTACCATATAGAATTTTCAAACAAATTCTAACCAAAGTGTTAATCACGCCAAAAGATAAAAGATAACATCAGTGTAACAACGTAATTATGGATCCAAACCGAGAAAAGCTCGGCGAATATCTAATCTGATGCAACAGGAGAAAAAATTGTTCCTGATTACTGAGAGGTGTACTGTACTATTTCTTAATCAGGGTAATGATTTCAAATTTGTTTGTAGATATGAGGGACATTCGCAGCAAATACGTGTGTGAAAATGATGTCATGCATTTGAGCTGTACATCGCCTAAAGTACTCAAGATTCACGGAGCAGACTATGGTGGGTCAGAGGTTTCCGTCTGTGGCGAGGGAAAAGTATCGAACGTATCATGCAAAGTTATAGACAGAACAGACAAAATAAAGTTCGCATGTGATAATAAATCAAGTTGCTCCCTTGTAGCAATGACCCACATTTTTGGTGATCCTTGCCCAAGCTCAAGCAGGTACCTTAATGTCATCTATGCCTGTGGTAAGTTCATATTCGTAATTGCAGTCTGTGCTGTTTTGAATTTTGAAAGAATGCTTTCCTGGAGTAATGTCAAAGGAAGTAATTTGTGTTCAATTTTGTCTGTTCTGAGGCAACTTCCCACTCTTTAAAACCTTTTTTAGCGATTGTTTTAAGCCACTGACAGTAAGTGAATAGCTGTAAAACATATTATGAATAATTATGAATAATCTTTCACGAAACCTTTATTGCCAATAGGCCATTTCCGAGTTATTTGCATGATGAAAAGCTTTGTAACCTTAGCTTTGAAACTAAGGCTTGGGCAACTCGGAAATGGCCTGTTAGGGTTTGTTTACTGTGTTATTGATACAATGAATAGAATCGTCTAATGTAATATCGAGCGTCAATCAAAAGCAATTAGACGTGCTTCAAATTTAGGTGAACTGCTTAAATAATGCTCCATTATAACCTGCTAATTAGTAATGCTAATAGGACTGAGTGGAGTCCCTTTCGGTTTGTAATCATACGAGTGATTAACAAAATCGGACGACCACGTAGTAGGAGTCCGATTTGTTTAATCACAATTATGATGGCAGACCGAATTGGACGACACGAAGTTCTGTTACTAATTAATCATAACTTCAACAAAATTTGTGATATATTAGGCTCTTTTTTTAAAATCAAAACACAAGAAATTCCGAGATTTTTATTGCTAGCAGGGAAAAAAAAGCCATTTAAGCGTGCTCGTGATAGCGCTTACTGTCCGCGTACTGTCCTATTTAACTGTCCTATTAAGTCTGAAATCAGGGCAGTTGATAGCCAATCAGATTTAAGAATTTTGTCATAGTTATGATTAATTTTGTAATCTTTCATTGGATATAAGAGCGACCACCGGTTACCAAAGCGCACGTTGAGTTAAAACGGATATCCTGGAAAACCTCAGAAATTCAGACAGGAGAGAGGGGACAGAAAGGACACAAACTCTATGTTATTTTTTTAAAAGATGTAGAAGAAATTAAATTATATTTATGTGATGCTTTGTCTTTCACTTTTTTGATTTAGTGGAGCCACCCGATGCTGCAACGACTCCTCAGTCTTCAATTGCAACTACTAAAGGATTGAATGCATCAGCAATGAACCTCACAACCTCCACAAATACGACGCAGCCATCATCAACAGAACCTTCAGAAAAGAACATACATGCACATGTACTAACCACCGGACCAGACAAGAAAACTGCCAAGACCCAAAAATTCGTGCCAGTGTTTGATCCATCCAACAACTTCGATCTAGAACCCATTTTTGACTCAGCTCAGGGCATTAAATGTAGCACCGGGGGAATTTTCTCCTTGGTTTTGATGACCTCTGCAATTTCATTTTTGAGGTTATAGATTGTGGAAGGCTTTGGACTGCCGATTTGAAAACAAGTCACTGTTTTGCATACACTTCTTTAAAAGATGTTTTAATGTGAAATCTAAAAATACATTTATGCTAGATTGTTCGGTGTGTATTATTGCTGAGTATTTTTACGGGCTGTGTTGTAAAATAAGAAATGATTAAAATTACTAAGCGATACTACACACAAAAGATTTCAGAAGCTATTAATAATCCAGCTCTTATGTGCGAAACTTTTACTGAGAAAACTGTAGAGTTGAGGAACGTGTGACAGTTTTTTAGCCGGTGACGTGAAAGTGGTAAGACTGTGATTGGCCAAATTAACGACAGCTTGTCAAACCAGTTTTCCAAACAACGCAGGTGCAGTTCGAAAATAAGTCAACGATCAAATACATATTTTTCAGAACTGTGAGAATGAAAGTGATCTCTGCTTCAATCAAAACTGTTACAGGATCTTTTTGCTCGTCAGTTTATGGAGAACCTTTCTGAAAGGGCGCAAATAGCAGCTAAGACCCTCGTGGAAGAACTAGAACGTGGTTGGCTCACGAGCTTGGTGCCGTCTCGCTTAGCCAAGTATTACATTTTACAAGTGAAAGTTTGTAAATACTCCATTGACAATATATTTGCCTTGCCAATAAAAGAACACGATCTTTTTTCACTGACTTCAGTGACTTAAGTTTAATTTCCTTTTTTTGGTTCTATGTAACCATTTTTTCTTAGTTTGCTCTCTTAAATCTACGATTTTATCGATCGTTAGCGTTTACTGGAAATGTCTCCTTTGCCTCGTACCTTCCAGTATAGAGCAATTACAACACTTAATGTTTGTTTTGAACGGAGATTAAGATTAGCGACGGTTATTATGATCGTTTTGCAGTAGTTCAAAACTAGATAACAAAAAAAAGTGTGCCTCTACTTTGATCTGATGAGTTACCCAGTCGCATATTCAAAACAATAATAAAGATAATAATACATGGCAAGAAAGCAAAGAAAATGAAGAAATCGAAATGCAGTTCGGCTAATTGCTACAATATTTTGCCATCTTTAATTTGGTTTGAATTCTTCTTAATACATGTAATTGTACGTCGACTGTTTGAATAATATGATGCACAGCGGAGCAAGAGGTTAATACAACTAATCCCCTCCTTCGTCTCCTCTGTTCATGAGCTTGCCTCTCGTTGTCTCAATATCAAAGGAAACACTTGACATAAGACATGTTTGTCGTGTGTGATACTGGTTGTCTTAACTCTTGGCCTGTCAGAAGAGGCAAAGGGCAAAACTAGACAAAATTTCCAAATAAGCAAAATAGTACTATGTGAAAAAAAGCTCAAGAGGCTTGATTTGAATGGTGGCACCGGTTTTAGTCCTCAGGTTCAAAAGTTAGAATTTATCATTCACTCTATGGCTGAAACAGACAGAGACTACACTAACGCGTAGAAGACAAAGACAAATCAATAAATTGTAAATTTAGCTACGTTTTGCTGGCAAGAAAGTGCAAGACTGTCTGTGTAGGCGACATGTACATAATCGGAAACTTGAGAGGGGCTATGTAACGAGGATATTGCTTTCATAGGTCAATTCTGTACTTGATGACGAAGTCATTACTTAAGCCCTTTTTTATTACCAATACACGAAATGCTCCTGTAGAGTTATGAAGACGATCAAACTAATTTCATCAGGGAGCACTAAACATTTGGCGATTTTTGCATTCAGAATTAAACCAAAAATGAAAAAAAGTTGGCTTAACTTCTTCAGTCGAGTCTTAATCCGTGTCCATCCTTAAAATTCTTTGCAACTGACAACAGGAAAGAGGTTCATTGCCTAAATATAGTCTTCAGAAACAAAACTGGACCATAATTTTGATAATTCAGTCGACGCGAAGACAAATTATTAACTTTTTATATTAATCAGATAGCAAGTAGCGTGACATAGCCCCTTAAAGACTTCT